ATTTACTACCATGTTGTTTTGAGCATCATCTAAGGGGAAAAAAAACAAAGAAAAACACAGAGACAGAGGTTGGGGATTAAAGACTCTTGTTTAGATGAAATTCTTCTGTTAACATGTAGGTGTGATGAAAAGGACATGCTTGATATTTTTTGCAAAAAATGAAAATTATATCAAACTATGCTCAAGTGTTAGAACATGAGAAAAACCACAAATCCACTAGTTCCAGCTTCTTGTGCGAGTTTGTCACTCTTATGTGGAAATAAAATAAATGAATGCGAATTGTAAGTTATTCAACTTAAAAAAAATTAAGATATGCTTTATTTATTCAAAAAGTTGGAAAAACTGCTGTGTACAGCTGGAAACTAATTCTCAGTAAAATAAACACAATATAACAAGAAAACAACAACAGCACAGCTAGTATGAACGCCATTAGACCACGACAGTCAAAAGACAGTTTATGTGGAAGTGCATTAAAGGTACAGTATGGAAAATCTCACTGACATGACATCAGCAGATTGTATTCAACTAAAATATGTTTTCTTACCTGCCCCAATTCAAATTTGTCCTACATGGGCCACTGTAGTTGGGACTAGAGCAGGGTGATATGACCAAAAATATTTATCACGATATATATTTGAAAATTTGTGATAACGATATAACTGACGATATAATCGACACTAGACAAAATACTTTACAACTCCACAACTTTATTCGTGCAAAAAAATAAATAAAATCAATGCATTTTCACTTAAACAAGCAGCTGTTTTTTTTAAATCTGCATTAAAGTTACATAAAAATTTAACAGTGCAAATGCAAAATCCTTGCTGACCGTTTAACCAAAAGGCATTTCCAGTGGAAATTGGCCGACATATCCTCAGCATAACCATGTATAATATCCACAAAACTTAAAAAGAGGTTATACACATAATACAGTAATATTATGTTGAAGCACAGTACGTAGCACTCCGCGAGGCTCCTGCCTACGATAGCCGTAATGCTCCAACAATCCATCAAGCGGTGCGGGTTCCTAGCTTAGCAAAGTCGTACTAAAACATTTGACAGATTTTCCAGTGCCGTGTACCACATAAAATCGTTTCGAGGTCAGTAAACACAACCAGAATTCATACATAAGGCACACGGGATTATAAGGGGCACTGTTGATTTTCAGAAAAATCAAAGGATTGATTTTAAGTGTGTTGTATTTTCCAAACAACACGGTAATAACGACGGCCTGCTAGCATGCTCTACCAAAAATAATGCTTTGTTGTGTATCTGACGGATGAAAGCTAAACCAGTGCCACACCACTGAAGTTGTAGCATATTTACAAACCAATTCTGGTTCATCCGTTTCATTTAACAATCAGCTTTTGCCCTTCTCATTCTCTGTCGCCGCCATGCTTTTTCCGCCATGTGCGTATGAAAACAAAAGCACTGCACATGCGTGTTTTACCCATATTCTATCGCGATATTTCATTTTCTTATCGTTGCCCGACATTATACCGGTATTACCGTGAACGGTATGATATCACCCAGCCCTAGCTGAGACAGATATGTTTTAGTCAGCCGAGAAAGTAAAAGGAGACCGACACAAGTCTATGAGTAAGTAAGCTGCTTAGCCAGAATTAGTGAAACTTTCTTTGAAGCGGATCTAACAGTGTTGGCCTTGAACACTTATCGAACAACCTCTCATACGATGTGAGAATGTAATCAAACTTTTTATCAGAAGAAAGAGTAATTTTTCCGTCATTCAAGCCTGGGATAAAGTTGGCTTATAACCAGCTTTGTGTTAGAGAAATTAAAAGAGCTAAATGCAACCTATATAAATAAAATGTACTTAAAAGACATAATTAAACATTAATAAATGTATATTTGTGGATGCAATACTCTTTTTTTTGTTTTTCTCCTGCTAAATAACCTCAACAAATGACTGACTGACTACTTTTAAGGCTGCTTTCCAGAGCAAGAAGTCTGGAGTTTGACTCCTCCATCTGTTGTGGGGGTTCTCTCCGGGTACTCCGGCTTCCTTCCACAGTCCAAACGCATGCAGTTATATGAGTAAGGTTCACTGGCAATGCTAAATTGCCCATAGTTGTCAATGTGAGTGCAAATGATTGTCTGTCTCAATATGTTAGCCCTGCGACAGACTGGCAACCTGTCCCAGGCGTACCCTGCCTCTCACCCTATGGTAACGGGGATAGGCTCCAGCATCCGTGCAACCCTGATAAGGATAAGTAAGTAAGTAAGTAAACTTTATTTATTAAGCGCTTTTCACAGACAGGCAATCACAAAGCGCTGTACACAAATATTAAAATATTAAAATAAACAATAAAATCAATAGACATTATATACAATGTAAAAGATCAAATGTAAATAATGTAAAAAAAATATGTAGATCAACAAAAGGCTTGTTTGAACAGAAGAGTTTTTAACTGTTTTTTAAAAGAATCCACAGAGTCAAGCAAACGTAATTGTAGTGGTAAACTGTTCCACAGCCTTGGTGCAACAGACTGAAAGGCTCTGTCCCCTTTTGGGGACCGGAAGAGAATGGATGAATGATGTTATCTATCATTACCTACATTTATACTGCCCAATAAATTAAAAATTAAAAAACAAAGAAACAGGAGGAAAAACCTTTTACCACGTTTTGACAACTTCACTGTTGCGCACACGCTTGGAACACCACAAACACAACAATCGGATGATCCAAGCATTGTTAGCTAGAGAGTTAACGAGATAAAAGTAGTTCTAAAACAACTGTCCGTCCATAGAAACTTCTAAATATAGTTTTAGATTGCACTTTCACTTTGATCCATCCCTCTCCTGCCAATTTCAAAACGCCAGGAAGACAATCACAAAGATACTCATCTGGGGTGATGTCATAGTAGCTTAGTTTATTAAAGCACAGCTTCAATTACAGCTGAAGATGACGGGGTAGAAAGCATAAGGATTTTGCACTTGACTGTCAATCATCCCTGCCACAGAGACAGGACTGGTCAGAACTTAACAGTAAATCACAATCTATACTTTACCCCACATTAGAAGGTTAAGCTCACTCACTCTCTCACACACAGTCCAAATTTTACTGTTAAATCATTTGATAAACGGCTGGCTTTGACGGGTCGGGGGAGGTAATCTCGACTATGTTACCAAAATGGTAATGGGAGAACATGAGAGGCACAAGCTGAAGCAAGACATAATGACGACGTTGTCAGATGATTCTTCGCAGTAGGTTTAATGACAATGAATTAGAAACTGTCTCTAAAACAATATTTGACCAGCTGAAAAACAGAAAGCTTCAGAACACGTCTCCGTGTCCTGATGGGAGCTGTCACAGTGTCCCTACAAGAAATACATTATTCGCTATCAAGATCAGCTTTGTCTTCAGTTGACATTATTAGTACAAGCTCCGTGTCTGTTTGTATTAAAAAGTTAATAAAAAAAGTATTAACTAGCTCAAATCCAAAGAGCCGAGCAATTATCTACCAATGGCTGCGAATTAATTCTGTTTTCAGGTTGAATTTCCCTTTCACCGTTATCCTGCTAGCATTAGCTGACTGTGCTGCTCGCTCAGCTAGAACAGTGAGCTTTGCTTAATATATCAAGCAATGTGTTTAAGCATTCTTAAATCAGAAAATTCGAAAGAGTATGTAAAGGTCAATTCGGATTTCAAAAAGAGATGAGGCAGCCCGGCTTGTTACCTAACGTTACACCAGCTAAAGGGTAACGTTATCCTTTGGCTTCTCTTTAGCTAGCAATCCGGGCAATATTAGCTTAGCTTTGCCACTTCTGCGCTCAGTGACACTACACGGCAGCACGTCAGGATGAGTTTTTCAGGTTAACGTCAGCTGCAAATACTCACGGGTATATATTAAGATAGGAGCGTGCAGTCCCAGCATCTTTTCCTCAAAACATCTGTCAGACCTCCATCCCGACAGAGATATAGCAGCGACATTCCTTTGCAAAGAAAACAGCTACCGCCGACCAATCATCAAGTAGCACGCAAAACTTGTGAATATCCGGTTTCAAAATAAAGCTCAAGCTTAGCGATACCGAAACATTATTTAAGCTTATGCTCCAAGTAGCTTACTCATGGATATTCTTACTTAAATTTCAATAGGTCTGAGTAGGTTTCCAACAATACAGAAGAAGTTGTGCCTCGAATTTTTTTCTGCATATTTATTTGTTTGTGTTTGCAGATTGCCACATATTGTGAAACCAATACAATCTGGACTGACTGACAACTTGTGACTCATAAATTATTATCCAGTGAGCACAGGGATGATTCTCGTTTTTTCCTTGAACTCCAATAATGAGTAATCAATTTGGGCTCATGTTTTATTCAGCATTACCTGAAACTAGTGACTAAGCCCATAAAGTCATCAGTAAAGTGTTTACTGACATCACAGATGGTTATTTTCCCATAGACTTCTATAGAACTAAAAGTCTTACTGCAACCAAAGGAGTTGCCCCCTACTTACCATGAAATAGAATGCAGCTTTAATCTTTTATACTGTTTATGTCAGGTAACTGTAACTACTAAAATCCACGTGTTTGGTGTTGGTCATTTATGAGCTAATAAATCAATTTACAGATACTAATACTAATACTAATATACTAATATACTAATTTACCAGAAAGCGAGTTTGGTTGAAATACAATTACGATAACCAAACTAAAGAATATTTTATGAATTTAGTTATTTTATGAAGTCTGGGCAATAGTTCACTTGAATTGTGTATACTAATGAGAATTAACACATAATACCTGGTAAGTCTCATGATTTTGCTATTTTCCACGTGGATGTGCACAGTTTCAGACAGCTTTAGGGTAGAACAAGATCCATTTTCTTTACTTTCTCACATTACAACCGATTGCCGATTTTCGCTTTTATTTTCAAGACGTAACTATAGTACTTCCGAGATTAAGTGCAGTTAGCTTGCCGCGGCTGTCGTGGTGGTCGAATCTAGACCGTCCAATTTATCCCAGCCAGCTTCCTGATGACACAGATGCTCTTCTTTTGGACTTGCGGCACCTAGCGGCAGACGTAGCAACTTACAGTAAAGCGCAGCATCCTCAGCTGTCACTTTTATCACATGAAAACGCCTGGACGTGTTTGTCAATGCAGATGAGGAGTTAGATGTCGTCATTTGTTCATAAACAAAGCAGGTATACACGCTTTAATAAATTGCTAAAGAGCAATGAGTCGTTGCTTGCGGGTATTTTTACAGTCATATTCAGCTGTGTTTGCTATCTTGAACACACCCCGCTGAGTACCCCGATATTGTTCAAGGGGAATAATGGCTGCACAGGAGCCGTCTCCACCATCTTCCCTGGAAGGTAACAAACCGGGCTTCCCAAAGAAAATTTTGGCTAACAACCTGGAGGATAAGCATTTGTGCAACTCGTGTCAGAAAATCCTGAGAAGGCCCCTGCAAGCCCAATGCGGTCACCGCTTTTGTTCGTTCTGTTTCAACAAAATTGTGAGGTGAGTAGTCCTGGATGCTAGTGAGCTAGCTAGATATATGTAGCCCAAAATAAGCATTCAGATCCCGTCACCAGCCTTCGTTCAAATATCTATCCATGTAACATTTATTGACACGTGTAACGCTGTATGCCTGCACAAAGAGAGTTGAATTACAAACAAAATACAGCTAAACTGAACCAACAGGTGATAAATGAATAGCGTCCTTATCTAAATAATATCTCAACTTGTCTATGTGCGATAGACTGGCTAGGTGTCCTCGTAGTTTCGTCCTGCTAACCTCTGCTGGGGTCGGCAGGACACAGGAGCCAGCCAGGGGTGTGCATTTCGAGAAGTTGAACCTGACAGCGCTTTATTGTACTGTCAGGTCGGTATTGTGCCGAATTCACTAGAAGGTCTGGCACCTCTCAGTGTCTTTAAAATGTATTATCTCCCTGCGTCTGTTGTCTAGTAAGTGTGCCAAAATAAAGTTGCCAGTTTTTTCAAGGTAAAATTCGGGTGACCTAACGACTCCGGCTTCAAGAAGGACCAGCTGTTCATAGATTTATATATGTTTAGTATTTCTTACTAGTATTGTTTTATATGTTTTATATTTTCAAATGCAGTAATAAGGAGTGCATTTTTAAATGTATATATTTCTGGATTTATAGTGGTACAGAAACAAAAACACAGGGTTAAAGCACCGCGAGTGGACCTTTGTAGTGACTCACCTGTTTTCTTCTCTCACACTGCGCAGGTGTGTGATGACACGAGAGCAATTTCAGTTTCACTTATGTTTTAGATGACTTGTTTCTCAAGAATGAATCAGTTATTTAACTTCACAGATCCTAAGGTGTTAGACATCCATCTGTGCCCTACACTCACTTCTGACTTTTACTAATTATTGTGTGTAATCTAATCTAAGATATAATGAGTGTGCTCATTTTATTTACCTAGAGGGGGAGGTGGGACAACACCCCCACACACACACCCTAACTTTTTCACAAATGCTTGTCTTTCTTTGCATTTGTAGGTGTAAAAAAAAATAAAAAATAAAACTGGATTAATATACCTATGAAAGAAATTCAACACAAATCATGTTTGTGTGAGTGATTAAAGAGAAAATAGTCTTCTGAAAGTAAGAAGGCATCTATTCTGCTTATTTTCGAGCTCAATATTTTACTAATGTAGCTTTCCGGTATTTTAAATGGATCCTTATTTGTGTTAATCCAGCCCCTCAATTCATCTGTAAAGCAATGTGTTGCATCTCCTCTCCATTTAAAACCACGTTTCTTCCTATTGGCTGCCCCTTCCAAACACGGAGTGGTTGTTTCCAATGCTGTGTACCTCACCACACCTCACCTCCTGACATTATACAGAGCCAACAAAAAAAGTGTAACACAGGTGCTTTTCGATTTACACATATTCTTATGGTACTATTTGATCATTTCACCATGTTTAACCATTGTAAGAGTAAAATATACAATGTGCAGTACTAGACTGACTTGAAATAAACTGTCTGTGTAATAAATGCATGTCTGGATAGAAAAACACAATGGAAGACTATCATTGACTAGCCTCCCCAAAGCTTGGAACTCAGCATTATAGAAACACTCATCTTGACAGGCAGCAAAATGAATGGCAGCCAACATCCAAAGAAGAGCTTTAGAAAGCCCTTAAAGAAGCCTGGAGAACTAGTCCTGAAGGCTAGTTTAAAAAAACTACAAGAAAGATTCCCTAAGAGATTTTAGGCTGTTTTTAATAAAAGTTTACAATTGGGTTTGACCAAATATTAGAGAATTCAGAATAGGTGCCTTTTAAAGTATCACATTTCTGTATTTTTCCCCTTTATAAATGACCTTGAAATTTTCAATTATGTTATTTTCAGATAAATATAGTGCTCTAATCTGAAAAATGTAGGCCTTATTGGATTTTCACCCTCTTCCAGCTCTTAGTTGTTTTTCAACCTATAGTTGTTGTATTGTGCCATCATACTTGAAGACCACGGCATGTATTTTGAGTGTTCAGACAAAGTTGAGTTAAGGTCATACAGTGGGGCAAAAAAGTATTTAGTCAGCCAC